GGGCAAGAAAACACACGAATATATCCTTACAACTTTATCGGGCATATTCTTGTAAGTTTTCTTGCCCTTCCCTTCGTTGTTCCTATTGCTACCGTACTTGTTTACCATAGACAGCGTAACGAGGGGGAAAAAGTGGATAAATACCATGCAAAGACGTGCTAGATGGAGAAGGTTGCCAAGTAAAACATCATCTGTGCATAGTAACGTGAGCAGGTGAGCTTTGCGCCGTTGCCAGACATTAAATCCGAACTTTTGCGAGAGTTTTAATTTGGAAACTTAAAGCCCCGAAAAGTGTGTAACATTTCAGGCTGAAAATAACAAGAAATTCTGGAGGCATCGTCAACATGCACAACCCTCGCATTTTCCCCGTTTGCTAGCACACCCTCTCGTCCATGCACTCTTATCGTTTTTCTAGCACATTCCCTCAACCGCGGACTCTAACATAACAACACTCAACCACCCTTACAACTTTATCGATATTATAACACTCTGTCAAACTTACAACACTCTAACCAACCTTGTAACTATCAACCTTACAACACTGTGAGTCTTACGACACTCTAGCAACTTTACAACACTCTAAACAACCTTAAAACACTATAACCAACCTTATAACACTATCATCCTCACAAAACTATCAGTCTTACAACACTCTGCCAACCTTACAACACTCTATCAACCTTATAACACTATAACAAACCTTATAACACTATAACCAACCTTATAATACTATCATCCTCACAAAACTATCAGTCTTACAACACTCTGCCAACCATACAACACTAACCAACCTTATAACACTATCAACCTTCCAACACTATCAGTCCTACAACATCCTATGAACCTTACAACACTCTATCAACTTTAGAACACTCAACCAACCTCTACCAACACTCTATCAACCTTTCAACACTCGAACCAACCTCATGTCTCCACCCTACTCTCTCTCTCGCCATTCCCTATTTCCCCGAACATTCCACATCACCCTGACACCCTCCGTCACCCTAACGCAATAACTGCAAAAGAGTGCAAGCCGAGAAGGATAAAAGCTTATGGCAAACAAATCAATAGATTTTTCCCCCCGTAATAAAACATGGTCGCCCTTGTTGGGTCTGCTTAACTGAACTGGGCCATGGCACGGTGTACTAGGAAATGGGGGAGAGGGAGAAGAATGGTAGGTGGGGAGAGATGGAAGGAGAGGGGAGGTGGGAGGGGGAAAATGAGGAAGAGGAAAGGGAGAGGGAAAATGAGGAAGATGGGGGGGAGAGGGGGAAAATGAGGAATGGGGGGAGAGGAGAAAGAATGGTAGGTGAGGGAGAGTGGAAGGGGAGGGGGAAAGGGAGGAAGAGGGGAAAAGGAGGAAGAGGGGAAGGGGAGAGGGGGAAAATGAAGAAGAGGGGAGAGGGAGAAGAATGGTAGGAGGGGAGAGGTAGAAGGAGAGGGGGGAGGGGGAGGGGAAGGGGGAAAAGGGAGGAAGAGGGGGAGAGTGGGAGGGGAGAAATGAGGAAAGAGGAGAGGGGGATGAAGAGGGGATGGGGGAAGGGGAAAGGAGGAAGAGGGGAGGGGAGACGGGGAAGGGAGGAGAAAAAATGAGGAAGAGGGAAAGGGGAAGAGGGGAAAATGAAGAAGGGGAGGGGTAAGGGGAAAACGGAGGAAGAGGGAGAGGGGAGAGTGGAAAATGAGGAAGAGGGAGGGGAGAGCGGAAAAAGGGAGGGAGAGGGGAGGGGAGGAGGAGGGAGAAGAAGAGGGAAATGGAGATGGAAAAGTAGAGGGAAAGCATAGAAGTGAGGGGAGGAGGAGAAGGGAGAGGAAGAACAGAAGTAAAAGTAAAAAAGAGAAGAGAAGAGGGAGGATAAAAGAGAAAGGGGAAGAAGAGAGAGTAAAGGAAGGAAGGAGACACTTCTACACTTCTGCTGCTCATGAGATTACACTTCAACACATAAGCAGGAAGTGTAAAATAGCAAATATCTTTTCAGTCTTGTATAAAAAAACATTATTTTTTCATAGCAGTGATAACATTATGTGCAAATACTGAAGAGGTGAGAGAGGGAGAAGGAGGGAAAGAGGAAGAAGAGGGGAAGAGAGAGGTGAAGAGGAAGAAGAGGAGGGAGTGGGTGGGAGAAGGAGAAGAAGAGGAGATGGGGAAAGAAAGAAGGAGGATGAGAGAACGATAGAGAAAGGGAAAGGAAAGGAATGGGGAGAGAAAGGGAAGAGGGAGAAGGGGAGGGATGAAGAGAGAGAAGGAGAAGGAGAAAGAGGGAAGAAGGGGAAGAGGAAGAAGGAAGAGGAGGAGGGACGGAAGGAAGAAGAGAAGAAGAAAGACGAGAGAGAGAGAGAGAGAGAGAGAGAGAGAGAGAGAGAGAGAGAGAGAGAGAGAGAGAGAGAGAGAGAGAGAGAGACAGAGAGAGAAGAAAGAGAGAGAAAGAAAGAAAGAAAGAGAAAGAGAATAGGTAATGTTTCCCCTGGAACAATGTGCCTCCCCCCCCCCCAACAGCGATTTGTAGATTGCATATTTCATTCCTCCGAAAAAGATGTGCATTTTATGATTTATGTTTTATGTATTAAAACTTTACAGCCCGTAGTTGGCATGACAGAAACACGTTCGTCTGATGGCCACGGGGAAAAACACTGGCCCTCATTATCAAGTTTTTTTCTCCTTTTCTTTTTCTCTCATTTTTCTTTCTTTTTCTCTCTTTTTTTCTCGTTATTTTATTTCTCATTTTTTTTTTTTTTCTCATCCTGCTTCCCTGCTGTTCTTGTTTGTATATTTTCTTGTTTATATCCGACGTGCAGAGAGCCAAAATCCGCCGTCTTATCCGGTTAAAGGAAGTAGACGGGTCTGGAG